TACCTTGGTATGGCTATATATTTTTTGGTAGTAATTAAAATATTCTGCAATAGCTATAACCCAAACTGTGCTGTGATGGAAGAGGTTGAACGATACAGCTAAAAATAATTTTAGAGACAGTGATTGGTCAAATCCTTTCATTTTACAGGTGGGGAAATTGAGGGCCGGAAAGGTCATAGAACCCTCTCAAGGTCACACTCAGCTAAACTCTAGATCCTGGATCTGCGGCCTTTGGGCCAGTGCGGCTTTGCCTAACGCGTACTTTAAAACCCTCGAATAGAATTAAGATGGCCATGCGGGGAGACAGTGCCATCCATCTTAAAAATCATTCTGGCTTCTGCCAGCTGATGAAGGAAATAAAGTTAATGACGCCCACATAAATGTGACGCTGTTGCAGGACGCAAGCACAGGCTGCCTGGAGGAGAGCTCTGTGGGCCTTCTGAAGAAGGAGAAGGACGCTTTTAGTGTAGCTTTAAAGGAAGAAGTGTCTCCTTTTCTGCAAGGACAGGGACTGTGACATCTGCCCTGCAGAGAGCCTAGCTTTGGACTGGACACGTATGCACATGCTAAGTAAGTGTCTGGTGAAGAAATGAAGGCAGGGCCACCACTAGAACCAATTCATCCTGAGCCTTTGTGGGTCTGGGGCCCTGTCTTTGATAAAGAGCATGCCAGAGGCCGAAGGGAACTTACAAGGGTTGGATTCAGTCATTTGAATTGCAAACTGAGTCCTCACCGTGGAAGGAGCTTGTTATGGCCAAGCTGTGGGATGGGAGCAGAGCTGGCTCTAGAAGCAGGGGCTCTCAGATCATAGCCACACTGCTCTTTCACTGCACCATATAGTTACAGCCTCTTTCATAAGATAGTCTCAAACACAAATTCCCTAAATGTTCCCTGATAGGTCATTACCAGTTTGGCAAATATGCAGATGTTCGTGTGCTGATCCATAACTCCATTTACTGGCTTTGGGTCCCTGTCCAGGCTGACACTTGGGAAGGAAAAAAATGACTCCCCCCCACCCCTGTTAAGGTTTCTAAACCCAAAAGGAGGGTGTACTGATTGACATTTTTTGTTGGTCCTGATGCAAACTTGCCCAGCAGCCTCCCCTTTCCTTAGGAAAAAGTCCTTGGCCTATTTCAGAAGCTCTTAGACACTTTCCGCAGTATCAAAAATGCAGCAAGTAAGACTCAAGGCAGGGTATAACTATGTCACCAAGAGAAAAAGATCAAGGTGGTCATCTGCCCCCTTTTTAAAAAATATTCATTTTTTTAGTTGTAAGTGGACACAATATCTTCATTTCATTTTTATGAGAAGCTAAGGTTAGAACCCAGTGCCTCACGTATGCTAGGCGAGCACTCAACCACTGGTCACAACCCCAGCCCCCCATCTGCCCTTCTTGACAAGCTGGGAGACCCAGCTGCCAGAAGGGCCACCTCAAGCGAAGTTTATTTACTTTTCAACTGGGTAGTTATTTTTAGGACTGCAGTATAAAACAATGTGCTTATCATGTTCCTTTTGATCCTAGTGTGTTTGAAACATCTCCCCTTCAAGCTCTAATGACTTTTCTTGGTAAATGAGTACCATATTTAATACAAAACCCGTGCGAAATACCATCTTACTGGAATGGGAGATGGAAGGGGCACATGAAGAAAACCTAATCATGTTTTGGGAGAGCCACACATAGATTAGACTACATCTATCTTCCTATCTTTATTCCCTTCTGAAGCACAAGCTAGGCCCCCCCCCTTTTTTTTGTTTCACTGGGAGGGTTTGTATATCTCCTTGGGGACATTTTTCTAAAGGAAGCTAGAATTTCTTATTTTAACTTCCTTATTATAACTCAGATGTTAAAAGCAAATCATTAAAAATTTGGTCATTTCAAATGGCAGATCAAAACTTGGGCAATTGAGTCTCCTTTTCCTGCCCTCCCCCCAATGTCTGGAGATATTTTTGATTGTCATGACTGGAGGTGGGAGGGGAAGGGAAGCTGCTAAACATCCTACAGTGCACAGGATAGCCTTCGTAGCAAAGAATCGTCCTGTTCAAAATGCCAATAGTGTAGAAGTGGAGAAATGCTATTTATTGTGGGTCTGTTTGACTTGTTGATAAAGCAAAAGAATTTTGGGGTCCTACCAGACCTGTCCTGGACAAAAGCCTCTGTAAGGGCTCTGGGGATTAAAGCCAAGTTACCTCTGGCTTGAAAGATGGTTTGAAAGGGACGTGTTCCCATCATCACAACAAAATGTTTTTGTCTGTTATTTTTGGTTTGTCTGGATATAAGACTCCATCTCCCAAATGAGAAAAAAATTTAGTTTATTGAATTCTAGAATGCCACCTGCAGTATTTTAGAACCTCAGGCTTTACAAAAACCAGAGCAGGAACTTCTGCCAAATCACCTCCTTTTTCTTATAGGGACACAGTTGATGAGCGCCGCAATGCTGTTGGTCTCCTAGGACCCCAAGTCTCCCTTTCTAAGGCTTTGATTCGTTCTCTGTGTTGGCATCACATGAGATTCTGTCCGTACTCTCTTCAGTTGTTGTTCTGTTTGTTTTGCTATCATTTTTGCCATTTCATTGCTTATAGGTTGCAGCAGCAGCCCCTCTGTTAGTGAGTGCTTTCCGAGCCCCCACTATTTTTCAGCAAGGTGGGCAGCTGGCATATCTTAATCTAAGGAGTGCCTGGGACAATTGGATTGGTTCATCCCAAAGCAGCGCCTTAGGGGAGAAGGGGGTATTCAACCGGGGACTGCTAGGGAGCTGCCAGCACCCATTTACCCATTTTAATAAGTCTCCAGGTTTTAATACTTCTCTATTTTCATCTAAAATTTGAAAAAAATAAAAGAATGAGAAATGGAAATACCCATTGAAGAAAGACAATCTACTCAGTTTGCCTCCTTCTGACCTTTTATTTTCTTTCATCTGTCTGAAAAAATTGCTTAGGGTACTCCCCTGGTTCAATTCCCCATATTTATGGTTCAGAAATGGAGTTGCTCCTCAAATGAAGTATCTATTCCTATATTTTGAAAGTGCCATGGCACCACTGCTTTTCCAGCCTGCTATAGTTGTGACTCATTTTTTTTCCTGATAAACACATGGAATTGTGTCTTACATCCATTGAAGCTCATGTGTGCCTTCACACACGTAGGGGACAGAGATGTAAACTGATGCTTCCTGATAGGCCATTACCAGTTTACCTGAAGAATTAATGCAGCAGTAGATTCGTAACCTTATCAAAATGATTACAATGCAGACCTTTTAGACTGAGTCTCCTTTTTGTGAAAGACAATGTCTGGGAATGGAAAATCAGGCATCGCATACTGTTCATCAAGAAAAAAAGGAGTATGGAGAGGGTAGAACGATGTGCTTGTCCTATTAATTTGCTCTTTAATCTCTCTGGTTCAGTTCTGTCTCGGGTAAGACAAACAGAGAATCAATTTGCATACAAATGTTACCAAGTACCCCATCTCTACAGCATTTCACAGTTCTACCAGGTATAAAGGGGGGACAGGATCGGATAGTATTAAGAGGACACTTTCTGCTTTAAAGTAGGTAAAATTTACAAGGCCTTGAACTACTGTACTTTTTTCATTCTACCTGATAACTTGACTATTTACATTCTGAGCTGTGGTCAGGATAGTGACCTAACAACCAATTATTCAAACCAGAGATTAGAAACTGTAGAATTGGAGCTTTGGGTACCTCAGAGAAGAGGGGGATCTTGTCTTCATCTGGACAGAAAGACATAAAGAGAGAGACTTACATATAGAAATTTAAAATTTTTGGGGGAGGTGTCATTCATTTAATAGACAAATCAATGGAGTAATCAAACAAACAATTTTTACTCAATGTATTAAAAAAGAATTATTTGCTGTTTTATGATGGGAGAGGATAATATTTGGTGGTCACTGAGTTATTTGAAACAACTGTAGTGGGGTTTTTCAAATGTCTTTTAATCCAATGCCATGGTAAAACATGAGAAGCAGGCATCTAAAATGAGGAAGATTAATGATCCTTGCAAGCTGTGGAAGAAGAATAATTTTTTTTCAATTCATATAAATGGAATTTATCATAACCATCTCTGAAGATGGCATGATTCACTCACTTACAAAAGGCCCATCTATTTCAATACTTCCTAAAGAGATGATTTTTCACTTTTCACTTGTACTAAGACAAGAATGCCAAGCCTGTAGGCAGAAAAAATTTAACGTAGGAGACAATGGATAGGGAAACTCAGCTATAGAGTCAAGGATAGGGATAAATTAAGAAACAAAACAAAGAGGCATTATCCATTAGTTCAAGATCTGCTGCTAACAGAGTAGTTTGTAAAGGTGGGTAGGGGAAAGGAGAGAGTCAAAGTTTGATAGGGGGAACGTTTCACAGTATCTGTTCTTAAATTCTTTCTGCACCCAAGTTCAGGGCTTTACAAACGGAGGTCATAACTCTCTTGTTTCCTAGCACTAAGCCTCAGTAAACCCCTCCCTGTCCCCCCGCAGAAAAAAGAAAACAACAACAACAAAAAGGATAGAAAATGGTATGTTTTGTGTCCAGCGAGTTGGAGTGCAACCTTCCCTATCACCGCTAGTTGTCACTTGGCTCCCAGACGGGAGAGCTGAGGTTTTCGGCACTGCGGTTACAGAGAATGCAGTCCTAATTAAACTGGGTAACTCCTAAAGCTTCCCCTTAAAGTCCTCAACCGAGTGAAAGCTAATATGCACAGGGGGCCGGGAACCAATGTCGGGGTGTAGCAGGCAGAAGTACAAACAAACCGCAAGAAACAGGCAAACAGCTGCCAGAGCTGAGACTGTCTCAGACCTCCACGCACAAGCCAGACACCCTGCGGGCGGGGGGTGGGAGGGGAGAAGGGGGCGGGGGATGGAAGGACCCGATTGCAGCGGTACACAGCAACCCCCTCCCTCAAATGATGGGACCACGGGCAGAGTCAAGCGTCTGTACTCCTTCCCCCCATTTCCAACAGAGCGATATGGTCGGTAGAAAATTGCATACCTGAAGAATACAATGGTCTCCCAAAGGTAGAGTCGAAGAGTATTGAAGCTGTACATTTTTCAGGTCCTTGTGCTTTGTAGTCCACGAGTTTCGGGGGCAAAAAAAATGTTTCAAATTGGCACTTACAAAACCAGCGAGAGCTATTGGAAAAATAATCCAGATGTTAAGGGTAGGTGAGGAATAGGGGTGCGGAGAGAGAGCCTCAGGGGAAATTGGAGCGAGGAGGCTGTAGGTACCACGGACAGCGGCGGCCGCGTAGCGTTTCAGCACCACGGAGAGCGTCCAGCCCCGCTTTTCAGGAGCGCGAAGAGTATTGCTGTTTGTTAAACTCCAGCGTGTCTGTTGGCTCCCTGCGGCGCTGGGGAGGCACGTTTGGGGGTGGGTATATTTTCTTTTTTTTACCCCTGTTTTTCTGTTTAAACGGCCAGCTCCGTGAAAGGGCAAAATTCTTCTGTGGAGATCAGAGCGCTGGCCGCGGACCTTTAGATTGGGCGAGCATCTTGGGTAGACGCAGCAAGGCTTGATGGCTCTGGGCTGGCCTGAGGGGGTCAGGGGCAAGGGGAAAGCGGTTGACGGCGCAGCCTTCAGTTAAATCTCGGAGAGTGTGCCAGGCTGGCGCATCGCGACCGAGTCCCAGAATCTTGCTCCCCTGTCTCCGTTCCGGTCTGCTGTCGCTGTGCAATCCCTGTTCTCTGGTCCCCGCCGAATAAGTTATGATCGCTGAAGGAAAGGTGTCCCATTGCTTAGGATTGCAGGCGGGAAAGAGCCCAGGGCAAGTTTCAGGGGCTGCTAGGGTCCATGGCTACCCCGAGGGGCTCAGGAGCCCAGGGTTTCAGATGCATCGCGGTTCTCTGGGCTCGCCCATCTTCCTTTGGCCAGGACTCCTCCAGATCTTCAGACTTTCTTACTGCATTAATTTAACAAACTGACGGCGTAGGGGATGGAGGGGCGGGCAGGGGGCGATGGCCGATAGGAGGGGGTGGAGAGGGGAAAGAAAAGGGGGGAAAAACTCCTTAGTATCTTCAAACCCTCCCACTCGAGGTGCTCATTGGCCCGCGGCTGCGAAAACCAGATCTTCTCCCGGTATTTGGCCAATCGCGTGTTAGACCTTGGGTTGAGTTTAACGCTTCGAGTGCTGGGCGACATCCGCTTCCCCCATTTCCCGGGGCCCCAGGGTCTCTACGAGCGTTTGGTGCGGGGTGAGGGCGGTTACGGAGTTAATCTCTTGAGGCCTCTCAAAATCCTACCATTTACAAGAACATAGTCGTAAGTGTGTAAAACACCCTGGGTCCCAGTTCGGGTGTGCTTCTGATCTCAGTTTATCATTTCAAAAGGGAAGAGTTGAGCCAGATCACTGAATTTCTTTAGAACTCTGAAGTTACAATATTTGGTTCCGGAAGGAAAGGAGAGGCTTTCAAAAAGAAGTCTGGTGGATAGAGGAAGTCCCCATCCAGGGTCACTGCAGCAGAAAAACACAGGAAAGAATTCTTAAATAGTTTCCAGGGTCAAGAGGGAGCTGTCCTCTCTGGCACCCTTTTGGAAGAGAAGAAAAATAGCTTTCTTCCAAGTGGACAGGAGACAGTTTTATTCACATTTTCTAAGCTGAGTTTCTAGAGCTTGTAACCTGCTGCAAATCAATGTCAGGGTCAATCTGTACACACAGGTATCCAACACTTCTTGCTCCCTCTTCCTATTTTTTTTTTTCTTCATCTCACCTCTCTGTTTCTCCACCTTGTTTGAGTCTCAGCAACCAGATATACATTTCACTTTGGAGCCCATCTGGAGAGGTGGAGTTAATCAGATTTTCTCCAAGCTATTCGACTTTGGTGGATTAATAGCCTCTGCAGGATTTTCTGGCTGATTTAAACTCCCGAGGACTCTGGGGGCTCTCCCTTCCAAGGCTACTGAGGGATAGCAACCCCTCCCCCTTACTCAGTAACTTTAGGGACGCCTTCTTCGGACTGTTTGGAGACTGATTTTTCCTAGAGTAGTTCTCAACAGCTCATCCCTCTCCACATCCAGGTCTTCTCTCTCAAGCAAGGATGTCTGGAAAGCTTTGTTTACCAGCTTTCTACCAGCAGGATTTCCCTTCTGTGCTGTAACAACACACTCTATACTACTGCTTCTTTTATTGGCTCCCATATATCAGAATTTCCACGATGCTCTGCATAGAGACTGAAAAGGAAATTTTGCTTTGATGATGAGTATTCACATGAATCTGATTCAAATATATGTATAGATAGTAATATCTACTATTAAAAATATGTAATACATAATCAAAAGCTAACCTTTTATGTGCCTGGTACTCTTGTGCACTTGATGTAACCTCATTTACATTTCACAGTCATACCTTGAGATATACATTATTATCTCTGTGCATATGTTTGTGTACATGCATACAGGTACATTTCTAAGTATAACTGGACAAAATCAGCATGTATATATTTTTTCTCTATATAAATTTATTTGTGATTTGTATTCTGCCTAATTCTGAAGAGGATTTGAAGTATATATATGTATTTGTCCATTTGTATTTGTCAATGGGTCTCCCCCTTGCCATATGCCCTACTTACATGTAAGTTCCGCCGACCTTATGTGTGTCATTGTGGTGCCTCAGAGGTACTGAAACACACTGGGAACTGGCAAGGTTGTCCTTGCACTCAACTAGATAGGAAGCACCAGTGCAATCAGATGTGGATGCACAATGCGTAGAGGTTTCTTTTTCTTCTCCTTCAAGGGAAACTATCTCTCTCTCTCTTTCTCCCTCTGTTGGTGCTTGTGACTGAGCATGACTCCAAGGCGGTGGTCTGTGAAGGAGATGAGGGTATTATCTGGAGGGAGGAGTTTTTGTTTTTCAATAGGCTCCTCTTAACTATGAGGCTGATATTTTCATTTAATCAGCATATCTGAATTGAACATGGGCCAAGCATTGGAGGAATAAAAATACATAAGATAAACAGTACTTTGAACCCCTGACATATGCAATTGCTTCAGTGAAAAAAGTACCTCATGGTTGTTAATCTACACTTTTTACTCTGTGCATCATCTTATGCTCTTAAATACTATACCCAGATCTTCCCGTTCTTATGTAGATCAATGTTGAAAATAAACAACTTGTGGAATAGGTAGGATATTTATGTCCTTATTTTATCTCTGCCTCAGAAGGGCTGTATGCATTGGACGAATGACCAAATTTCAGGCTTAAGTCAAATGAGGGCAGTAAGGCCTACTCTTCTCACCGAAAGGAACTGCATAGAAGAAATGATATTGAGAACTTATCTTACTATAACTCATCATGCTACTAAGCAAAAATTTTTATGGAATGGAACAGACTGGCTTCAGGTTGTGGTCCATTTTTATTGGTAAATATTCTGCATAACCCACTTGAATCAAAGTGTGAAATATGATATGTCAAGAACTATGTAATGTTTTGAACAACCAACAATAAAAATTAAAAAAATATTCTGCATAACCCACTATACAGTGTAATTTCAATATTTGACTTGTCTCTTTAGGTTTCAATAGTCAGATTTGAACCCTATTAAGTATGAATAAATTTGGACACACAGTGAAACTTATCTTATTAGTAGAAAAATTTATTGTTTTATTCATTCAACAAGTATTTATTGAACATGTATTATGTGTCAGGCACCACTTTAGGTACTGGGGATACAACTGGCAAAGATCCCTGTTCTAATGGAGTGTATGTTCCAGTGGAGAGAAACAGAAGCTAAACAAGGAAATAAATGGTGTGTTAAGCAATCAGGAAGAGTAAAAAGAAAACAGCAGGGTAAGGGCAGAGAGTGACACGGAGATGCTACTTTATGTGAAGTGATCAGATCGGGGAATGCCTTCTGGAAAGGGGGACACCTGAGCAAATAATTCAAGGAAGGGACTGAACCATGTGAATCTTGGAGAGGGGAGGAGAGTTTTCCTGAAAGATAGAAAGGCAAATATAAAAGTTCCCAGAAGGGAATGTGCTTGGAGTGTTCAAGAAATAGCACGGAGGCCAGTGTGCCTGGTCATAGTGAGTGAAAGCAATAGTGGTTGTGGGCGAGGTTGGGAGCTGGTACCTGGTAGATACAGGATGGACTTTGGGTTTTTATTTTGAATGAGGCAGGAAGCCATTGGAGAGTTTTGAGTAGAGGAAAAACAAGATCCGATTTAACATTTAAACAAGATTTGTCTGGCTACTATGTCCAGAATAAAATGTGTGTTTGGGAAGGAGGTAGGTATGGGGTGCTGGGGGAAGAACAAAAGGAAAGCAGGGACTAGTTAGGAACCACTGAAAAATCCCATGTGAGAAATCTTTAGTGGTCTTGTTCAACAATGTTATTTGCAGAAGGGAAAAATTATTCCCAGAGAGATGAATCTACTTACCGGATAGACTTGTAGAATGGCTGGTAGAAGAACACAGGAAGCCTAATTATAATTAAAGTGTCTTTCTACTCTACTTTAGCTCCAACTAAAGTGAAGGACATGTGAAAGAAGATTGTGAAAATCTACAAGGGCAGGAAACTTACCTGGCTTATTATTGACACATACATTCATTTTATATACATATATATAAATTATATACATGAATAAACACACACACTTTGACATATGATGGGGTTATATCTGATAAATTCATAGAATCTTGAAAATATAATAGGTAGGAAATGCATTTAGTACACTTAACAAAACATCATAGCTTAGCTTAGTTTATTGTAAATATGTTCAGGGTACTTATATTAACCTACAGTTGGGCAAAAACACCTAAAACAAAGCCTATTTATAATAATGCGTTGACTATCTTGTGTGATTTATTGAATACAGTACACTGTGGAGTATTGTCTGTTTACACTTGTGATTGCATCAATGACTGGGAGCTGTGGCTTACTGCTGCCACCCAACATTATTAAAGAGTATGGTATTCCATATTGCAAGCCCAGAAAAAGACCGAAATTCAAAATTCAAAGCATGGTTTGGTTTCTACTGAATGTGTATCTCTTTCCAACCATCATAAAGTAAACAAAACAAGACAAAAATGATAAGTCAGGCCATACTGAATTGG